ATGCAGGGGGTCGGACTCGATGATCTATTGAGGTCCTTTCCGACCCTAACATCTATGAATCTATGAAAAAGGAAGCTTATAAGTGGAAGCTTGGACAAATAAATAGGGAGGAGTATAAAAGCACTGCTCAGTCACGCGGGGATGAAGTCAGGACGGCCAAAGTACAACTGGAGCTGCAGGTAGCAAGGGACATGAAAGGTAAGAAGAGTTTCTACAAGCATGTCGGTAGCAAGAGGAGGATCAGGGAAAGTGTGCGTCCCTTACTGAAGGGGGATGGCAACCTTGTGACAGAGAATGCAGAAAAGGCTGAAGTACTCAGTGCCTTTTTCACTTTAGTCTTCACAGGCAAGGTCAGCTCCCAGACTACTGCGTCAGGCAGCACAGTTTAGGGAGGGGGTAAGCAGCCAACAATGGCGAAAGAACAAGTTAGGGACTATTTAGAAAAGCTGGACAGGGTGCACCCAAGGGTGCTGAGGGAGTTGGCTGATGAGACTGCAGAACCATCAGCCATGATCACTGAAAACTCATGGCTATCAGGAGAGGTCCTGGATGACTGGAAAAGGGCAACATAGTGCCCATATTTAAGAAAGGGGAAAAGGAGGATCCAGGGAACTATAGACCAGTCAGCCTCACTTCAGTCCCTGGAAAAATCATGGAGCAGATCCTCAAGAAATCCATTTCTAAGCACTTGGAGGAGAAGAGGGTGATTAGGAATAGTCAACATAGATTCACCAAGGGCAAGTCATGCCTGATCCACCTGATTGCCTTCTATAATAAGGTGACTGTCTCTGTAGATGCAGGGAAACCAGTGGATGTGGTATATCTTGATTTTAGCTAGGTTTTTGATATGGTCTCCCACAGCATTCTCGCAGGCAAGCTAAGGCAGTACAGGCTGGATGAATGAACTGTAAAAAGGACAGAAATCTGGCTGGAGCATCGGGGTCAGAGGGTAATAATCAGTGGCTCGATGTACAGTTGGCAGCCAGTATCACGTAGAGGGCCCCAGGGGGTTGGTCCTGGGACTGGTTTTGTTCAATGTCTTCATCAATGACCTGAAAGATGGCACAGAGTGCACCCACAGCAAGTTTAGAGATGACACCAAGCTGGGGGGAGTAGGAGATGCACTGGAGGGTAGGGCTAGAATTCAGAGGGCTGGGCTAAAAATAATCTCATGAGGTTCAACAAGGACAAGTGCAGAGTCCTGCACTTAGGATATATTGAATTGCAACAGTAGGAGTGTTGCCAGCAGGTCAAGGGAAGTGATTACTCCCTTCTATTCAGGACTGGTGAGGCTGCATTTGGACTGTGTTTGGTTTTGGGCCCCTCACTACAGAAAGGATGTGGACAAATTGGAGAGGGTCCAACAGAGGGGCAACAAAAATGGTGAGGGGGCTGAGGGACATGGCTTATGAGGAGAGGCTGAGGAAACTTGTCTTATTTAATTTAGAGAAGAGAAAACTGAGAGGGGATTTAATAGCAGCCTTCAACTACCTACAGGGTGGTTCCAAAGAGAATCGAGCTAGCCTGTTCTGAGTGGCAGCAGCTCAAAGAACAAGGAGCAGTGGTCTCAAGTTGCAACAAGGGAAGTTTAAGTTAGATATTAGGAAGAATTTTCTTACTAGGAGGGTACAGGCAACCCCCACTTTGTGCTCTTAATTGGTTCCTAAAAAAACGAGCATTAAGCAAAACTGAAAGTATTTGATGACCCGAGATGGCGACTGCAAGTGTTATAACGAAACTCACTGAGCACTAAGTGAAATCAGGTATCAATTTCAAATAAGCATTACAGCAAAATAGTGCTAAGTGAAACGGTGTTAAGCAGGGGTTGCCTGTAGCAAAGCACTGGAACAGGTTACCCAGAGAGGTGGTGGAATCTCCATCCTTGGAGGTTTTTAAGACCACACTAGACAAAGCCTTGGCTGGGATGATCTAGTTGGGGATGGTCCTGCTTTGAGCAGGGGGTTGGACTAGATGACCTCCTGAGGGCCCTTCCAACCCTAACTTTCTATGATTCTATGAAACATTCAGCTTCTTATGCATTCTAAATGCAAAATTTTAGATCAAAGTCTCTTCCTTTCTTCCTGAACAGCCTTAAAACAACCAACACTCCCTTTTCTTCTCCCAACTGGTTGAACAAGTTGCTTTAAAATGTAAAGAATGCTTTCTGGGGGTTGGTCTCCCCTGGCCACTGACCTCTCCTAATTCAACACTCACCTTACAGGCCATATCTATCTTTACACCTACCAAGTATTGAGTAAAAGTCACTTTTCTCTTAAAAAACAAACAAACCCAAAACAGACACTTGATGGTGCACACATGTTTTTGCAAAGTTATTGATGGAACTTTTTTCCTCCCTTCACCATAGCAATTTTTGCAGTCTCTTCATAGCGCCTTGTCAGAAAACAAATTGAGACTAGTCTGGGCTGGGTCCTATTTTTGGTGCCTTTACTGAGGCCTATAACAAGATTGCGCAATCTAATAATGCATCATGAACTATATTCTAGTGACAGACAATTTTACGTATGCAACCTCTAAACAAATGGAAATGTAGAGATTAGAGGGCTGAAACACCAGGTGCTATGAGCCTTCCAAATAAATGCTAATCAATTTAGAAAACTTGCCAATCAAAACAAGCGTATTAGAGAAGGTTTGATGTTCTCAAACTCTGCTAACACTGCTTAGTATATTAGATGATCATACCAGAAATATAACTCCCAGCTCATGAAATCCAGTCTTCAACTAATGGAAACGAGATTTTCCACTACAGTTGAAGCAGCATAGATCCTCAAAAATCTAAGAAGGAAATTTAATGGAAAAATTCAGCCAGCCATCAGCGCTAAGAGTATTTCTACCTAAAATGTACAGATACTACAATGTTAAACTAGTTGAAAACACTGAAGATGAAGTCAATGCAACATCTTAAAGGTTGGGAGAAAAGTTTTACATTGTGAAATTAGTGGTGTTCAAATAACCAAAAAATGCATACGTTTAGAGGTGTGAATAACTCACCTGAAATAAGTGGCAATACAGAGAATGACAACCAGCATGGGATAGTATATATAAAATCCATCTGCAATGAAGGATAACACTCGCATAGAGCCCATTATCTGAAAAGAAAAAGATGCATTAATATTAAAGCAAGATCTCAATATTTCTAGTCTTTTTGTGTATTCACATCTCTCATATTTCCACTTTTACTGCCAGCTTCATTACAGTCAGGTCTACATTCACTATACATCTACCTACATACGTGTAATAACTCATTAAATCACCTTCTACTCAGCATTTATCAATAAATTGTCAGTGCACCACATTACCACAGCACTGGTCAAAAGATACTTGGGTAGGCCTCTTTGTATTAAATCTATATAAAACCTCACAATTTATTCTTACTACAGATTACCACCAGAATTGGTAATTCTGTTAATATCAAACCGTTAAGGTGTTCAATAAATATCTACTTTAAAGAGAAAAAGTTGAGACTGAAAACTAAGCATAAAACTATATCGTTCATGTACAAATGCAATCATTACATACAAGTTAAAAAAGTAACATTGCACTTTTCAGTTAGCTTAGGACAGGGGTGCTCAACCCCTGCTCATCAGGGGTGCCTGATCCAGTGCCCCGGCCTGTGGGGCTCCCCATCAGTCCAGAAATTTGGTGGTGGGAGAGTGGTGGCACTGCTTCTTCCGGCCAGACTTCTAGGCCCATGGGAGGCTCTGGGCCCTGCACACTGGAACCAGGCACCTGATCCCAGCGTACAGGGTCATGTGGGGGCAATGCCAATCCCTTGTGTCCCGAGTATAGGATCCCTCAAGGCTCTGTCCTTGGGCCTATACTATTCAACATCTTCATTAATGACGTGGACATTGGTATCAGAAGCAGATTGCCCAAGTTCGCTGACAACACCAAACTGTGGGATAAAACGGCCACACTTGAAGACAGGAGGGAGATCCAGGCTGACCACAACAGGCTCAGGAAATGGGCAGACGAGAACCTGATGGTGTTTAACACCGAAAAATGCAAGGTTGTCCACCTTGGGAAGAAAAACCTGCAGCATGCTTATAGGCTCGACAGTGCTACGCTGGCTAGCACTACAGACAAAAGGGACTTGGGGGTCATGATTGACCACAAGATGAACATGAGCCTTCAATGTGATCCTGCGGCTAGTAAAGGGAGCAAAACACTGGCTTGCATCCATAGATCCTTCTCAAGCAAATCCCGGGACGTCATTCTCCCGTTGTACTCGGCCTGGGCGAGGCCACAGCTGGAGTACTGTGTCATTTTGGGCTCCACAATTCAAAAAGGATGTGGAGAAGCTTGAGAGAGTGCAGAAGATCACATGCATAATCAGAGGTCAGGAAAACAGACCTTATGAAGAAAGGCTGAGAGCCATGGGACTCTTCAGCCTGGAAAAACGCAGGCTCAGGGGTGATCTGGTGGCCACCTATAAGTTTATCAGGGGTGTTCACCAGGATCTGGGGGAACGTTTGCTCACCAGAGCATGCCAAGGGATGACAAAGGCAAGAGGTCACAAACTCCTCCATGACCATTTCAGGCTAGACGTAAGGAAGAACTTCTTTACTGTCCGAGCCCCCAAGGTTTGGAATAGACTGCTGCCAGAGGTGGTTCAAGCACTTACTTTGAACACCTTCAAGAGACATTTGGATGTTTATCTTGCTGAGATCCTATGACCCCTGCTGACTCCCTGCCCCTTCGGCAAGGGGCTGGACTTAATGATCTTCTGAGGTCCCTTCCAGCCCTAATGTCTATGAATCTATGAAAGCCCAGCACACATGGCTCTGTCAGGCCCATGGACTAACCCCAGCCCACTCATCCGGCCCAGGGTGCCAAAAAGTTGTTTTCGACCAGTGGTGCTCATTCTCATAATCTATAGACTAAAAATGGAGCCAGAGCCTGATTGCTAATGATTTACAATCAGTAGCTTTCTCTTGCCTAATGAATGAGTCTGGACAATAGTTTTCAGCCTGCCTCCATGCAAGTCAAGGAAGCAAATCAAGTGATACTCTTAATATAAGTATTTCACATTAATATATTTTGTTATTATTGAACTATTTTGTAGCATAAAAATTTCTCTTTCTATACCTACCGATGTATATGCAGTTACTTGAGTGTTTTGGTGAGAGATTGATGAATCCATGTGAGTCAAACCCAAGAAATTCAGACACAGTGGTGGAGTAAGACGGCAAAATAACCTGTATGAATTGAATTTAATAGCAACTTTTAAACAATTTCCCCATTTAGAAGATGTGTTAAGAAAAATACAGCACAACTAGGAATAAAATTGCTTTAAAGGCGAACTGAAAATACATTTTATCTCCACCTGATTGATGAGGGTTATACTTGAAATACTCTCACCATTAAAAATTATATTATTTGAAATGCTCTCACAAACAATATATACTTACATGCCACTGAAAAGGAGACTGTATGCATCCGTTTGATGGTGGGAAGCTAAGTAATAATAATTAAACACACGGATCCGGAAGACAGTAGAGTAAACACAGATACTTAAGAAGAAGATGGTAAGGAAGCAAGCCATCTAAAAGACAAAAATATTCCCTTTTTTTACTTTTACTTCTACAACTTAAAATTCAATGCAATTACAAGACTTAGAATACAGCAATAAATAAATAGAAATCAATTCTCAATATATATAATTTGTCATGGTATTTTAATACAACCAATGCATATAAAGTATTTCTTAAAAAACTAAGTTTCCAGTTTGACATTAAGTATAGAAGCCTTTTAAAAAAAAAATAAAAATGGCAACAGCATGAAGTACATTTTTAAAAAGCTAAATGCTGTCCCAATTAACACCATTACTATTCAAACATACTAGGAATATGCATTTGCTGGTGTAAGCAAACTGTTTCTAAATACAACTAGATAATGGGGATGAACTAAAATAGAAAAAAATCATATCTTTAAAGTTTATTCTGTTTTATTAGCAGGCTCCAAATTTGGAGCTCAGTTCCTATTTTGTGTGTTCTCTTAAGCCAACCATACCTCTTAAAACTATGGATTGGCCATTCAGAGGCAGAGGTCTGCATACATGGAAGCTCAGAAAAACAAAAGGAAAATAAATCAGTCCAAGGAACAGAGACTGAGGAGGCTACACGTCACACCTCCAACCCATGACCTCAGAACAAACACAAGTTCCATTTCTGTTTCAGATAACAGTGCCTCACTAAACTGGATCAGACCCTGGTGTACACCACAAGAGGGCAATTTCTCTTGCACAGGGCTGCATATCTTAAAGAGCACCTGTAATTCACATTCACAGTTAATTTAAGGGACAGTAGTTTACAAGTGCTGATTTCAATATAGTCTCAGTCACTATCACTATGGCAGGGATTTAAAACAAACCAACCAACCAAAAGAATAAAATTGGTAGATGATCAAACTCAAACCTTACCTCTATATAAATATAGTTGTATGTTCTTTCTGCCAGTTGTATAAACACTGCAAACAGGGACAAAACAGGCCTAGTGCTGAAAAATGTGCACTCTGACCATACAACAATTATAGAGAAAGCAGCCAACACAATGGCAAGAATCCTGCAAAACCATGGTCGCAGGAGACACTCCCAGTACCACTCTAGAAAAAGAAAAAACCCCCCAAAGATTAGTGAAGAGAAACAGAAAAAATGGAATTTTCTAAAATATTATTTCAAAGTAGCATTGCTAATGTGCAGCCCCTGCTAGTCCTAAAGAATCCAAAGTAGCACATGAGCACTAGCAAGTGTGGAACTGTGGGGATCATCATTTGAATACACCGCTCCTGTTTCACAAATAATAAGTTCGCACAATGCAAGTAAAATATGCAAAAATATATATACAAATTTCATGTACCATCCAATTTTTAATATAAAACATTAAAATTACACTTGGTTAGAGATGAGGAAGAGAGACAAAGTCTAAGATTCTGAAGTTAAGCTGTCATCTAGGAATAAGACAGTATAAGTGGAATCATTAAACAGTGTGTCAGTTCTTCCATGAAGACAGCTGTCTATTTTAATTATTCAACTACAAAGATAGGAGGGCATTTAAAAAAGTAATGGAACTGTCAAATGAAATCATTTTGTGTGCAATGGTGTTTTACTGGACCATGTCAATTCTCTACATAGTTGTAAACAACAGGTGTGTTCAAAGATCCCACCAGGGATCCCCACTGTTGGGTACTTAAAAACATTTTGTGCCCAATGAGTTTGGATTTCAAAATTGATGTTAAGTTTCTGAAATACCCTTGTACTCTCTCAGACACAAGCACACTATGGCAATATGATCCAAAGAATTCCTTAAGAGCATGGGACTTTTGCTAGTTCAGACATACCAACAGTCGGCGTGTAGAAGTATTGCACAATTCTGTTTTCAGGTTCTTGGGATTGAAAAGTATGTACAAACTGACGAGTTGCACTGGTTTCATTTTTTGCCACATCCTCTAGATAGAATGCTTGTTCTAAAAGAATTTGCCACTGGACTTGTGTACGACGGTGCCTCTGAACTGAATAAATCACCTATGGTAAAAAGAACATTAAGTTCCATTTTGTAACATACTTGATCCAGGAAGTAAGAGGGGAAAAATTAGGAAATACATACTACACTGCTTACACAATCACATGAGTATAAAGATTAATTCCATGTATTTGCTTATCTTTATGAAAAATAGACGTATGACAAAATACTGCCAAACTAAGTACTTCACTTCTCTAGCACTTTCACCATATTCTATCAGTTAATTTCTTATGCTTTCACTGCAATTTTTTTTTAAGATTCTTTATGGAAGTCATATAGTATTATGTATAATCACAAGCACCAACAACATGCTTCAGTGTATCTAGGCAGGAACTTAGGACTGGAAGAGGTCTCCTGGGCCACCAAGTTCAGTCCCTGGAACTTGCAGACAATCATCAACCCTAGGAATCCCCATGACTGCCAGTACAAAACCTCATAAAACTCCTCCTGCAAGTTTGTATGAACTGATGTTCAGATATTTGTATGCAGTTGTTACTGGTGTAAGAGCAGAAGGAACAGGTAATGAAATTAAATAAACATTCTGTTTGCAGCTGCAACCAAAAAATTGCAAAGAAAACACAGCATGATCTCAGTGCATTTGAACTTAAAATAAAGCAGTCTTAAGTGACTACCCAAGCAAGAGAAATGATGTAACCATACACTTATCAAGATACCTGTTTGTGAAGTTTGACCAGACTTTTCTCACTCGGATAACTGTTCTGCTTTTCATCAAAGTCTTCATAGTCATCCATGTTCCTGCCCATTCTTTCCTGATACTCAGTAGGACACTAAGAGTACAAGAATTGATAAACTTCTTTTTATAAAAGGTATACCTTACCATAAAGATACCCAAAACATTTAGTTTTGCACACCTGATGTAACTGAAGTACATTTCATTTAGGATACTAAATATTTTTCACTCTTTGAGCGTTCTTACACATGATTCAGGGGTGGCTGGGAGGGGTGGTGCTTTAATTAAAGCACCTGCAGCATCTTGTGCATCAGCATCCCCGTGCTACAAAACGGCAGTGGGGACGCTTTAACTAAAGCTCATTGAATGAGCTTTAGTTAAAGCGCTCCCATCGCCATTTTGAAGCGCGGGGATGCTGATAACACGAGATGCGAAGGCTGGCTGGAGTGCACTAATTACAGTGTATTAGAGCAGCCTTCTGGCATGCCTACAGGCATGCTTTAATTCTGCAAATTTTCACTTGCAGAAATGAAGTTAATGTCTTGCATGCAATTGTTAAAAAAATGCTGCATCTTGTTAGACAAAGATGGTTTTTACTCAAGTGTGTAACAATACGTTCAGAATAGGGTAAGATACATAAAAGTAAAAAGGAAAATCAACCTTTTCAGCCATCCTTCACATTATTTGTCTAGGTGGCTTAAATACAAAAAAAAAGAAAACAGCAAGTTCTAATCACTAGTTCAAAATATGCTTATACAACTATATTCCAGGCATATTATTTCATACAAAATTTTTTAGATAGAATTAATACCTAACCATAAAAGCCTCAAGACTTAATAATGCTATAGTTTAAACATTTTGATTTATTCAATAAAAACCTTACTCCTGAACAAGGAGTCTTCAGAAGGCTAAAGGGCATTTTTTGACAACTGCAATGAAAATACAGTCTCTAAAATTTATGAATATTTGGTTACCTTTTTCAATATTGTATCAATACATTTTCTCAAAGGATGATTATACTTGATACTCTCATTTACTTTACGGACTTCCTGTTTAGAAAAAAAATTCAACACATTAAAATGACATTTCAATACATAAAGGCAGCTAAAGCATTAGGGTCCAAGTTCCACATGGCTCAGCAGAGGTCTTTGCTCAGTGATTTCAGAAAAACATTGAAATTTAAGGCTGTTCAAGAAGTTCTAAGCATAGAACAAGTGATTTCTAAATATTCTTTCTAGCTTAGAAAGATTCATTAAACAAGCTAACAGTATGGTGTGTATTTGGAAAAATAAGCGTGTGGATGAAAAGCTGTTTTGCAGGCAGGAACACTGAAAGGAAATGCTTTGGGAATAACAAAAAGAAGTTTCATTCTGGCTTGATTTGTTTTGATTTTTAATATGATGTTTAATATGTCAGTATGTGGCTCCATGCATGATGATTACAAGTAGGACTGTCAATTGCAATTAACGCGTTAATTTGTTTTTGCATTAATTTTTTTAATGCACGTTAATTGCTGCTGGTGATGGGGGGGGGGGAAAGCAGCCCCTCCCCCCTTGATGCCACGTGCTTGCCTGTGCTGCAAAAGCAGCCCCTCTCCTGTCGCTGGTGCATGCCTGCCTGGGCTGCTAGGAGAAAAGCAGCCTCTCCCCACTTGCTGCTGCCTGGCCACAGACGCTCACACCCACACGCCAGGCAGACCTACACACGTGTGTGCCAGGCAAACCCCTCCCCGCCCCCACACACACACGCGCACGCCAGGCAGATACACACACACACACACACACACACACACACACACACTGACCCCCCCCTCCGCAACACGCACACCAGGCAGACATCCCTTCTCCCCCCCACAGACCCAGACAAGCCAGGCAGGGTCCTGGGAACAGACTCAGTAGCTGGATGCAGGTAAGTATATGGGGGTGGGGGGTAGGGGGGACGGATGACAGGGTTGGAGGACCAGGTCTTGGGGACTGTCTAGGGTTTGTGTACTTGTGTGTACACCCAAAAGTATTTATAATAAATTGGTATTCTATTATTGTTCAACTACGCAGCCCTAATTATAAAGGCACGTAAGTGGCTAAGAGTATATTGATTTTTATACTAGGATATAAAACTTGGAAGGGGCACAAAATGACCAATTAAAGCTTCCTCATAGTTATATTAAAACATTTCTCAGTATACCAGTTGCCTTGGCATATTTATACCTTCCCACTTGTCTCTGGCTGCCTCATTTCTGAGGACATCATTTGGAGGATATCAATAGATAGATGGAAGGAGGAGTCAGTCAGACTGGGTTACAGCTGATTTCAATAAAAAAATGCAGGAATTCTCCTACTTTAGACTTGGTCAAAGAATATGGGGGCATAGTAGGGAGTCAGAAACAAAAGCAGATTTTCTCTGATCTTACTGACAGTGCTCAAGATAATGAACTTTTCTAAAGAAATTTGAATATTGTGTTCAATTGTGGGCATTGCACTTTAAGAAATATGCAGATGAACTGGAAAGAATCTGGTGGAGAACAAAAAAGGGATAGAAAATAAGGATCATGAGAAAATACTGAAGGAACTTGATTTGGTTATTCTATGCAAAAGATAAAATTAAGGCTGGGAGGGAAGAGGAGGGGGAGTGGGAGGTCTTTCAATGCACAGAAGATTATGGAACAGAACTCATTTGTTCTCTATGGCTGCTAAGAGAAGGACAAAAATCACCATAACTTGCAGGAGTTAGGCTAAATATTGGAAATTAGCTATAAGGTAGTAAAGTATTGGAAGACGCTACTTAAGGACGTTGTGGAAACTTTCACTGGGGATTAGTTTCGCTCACAAACAGGTGAGACAAACCAAGACAGGCAGGAATAAATGAGGGATGGTCTGGTTTCTTGGTCCTGATTCTGTGCAGGAGGCTGGACTTGAGGTCTTATCTAGTCTTAGATTGCTAAAGTTTCCAAATGAATACACTCAAGGCTCTGGGCATCATCTGCTACTCTGGAGGAGAACTAAGTTCTGTGGATGTTTCATTCACATAACTTATAGAGATGTTTCAGGTTTCTCTCCAAAGCAGTGTCAACATTTTTGTTAGTATTCTCAGTCCTTACTGACTTTCAACTATAAAAGTTTAAACGAACGTGCTAGATCTTAGAAAGCTGTGACTAAGGTAGCCGAGAAATGGTGCGTTCCCTTCTAAACTATTTACTTAAGTGTCAAATCTTTAAAATTGTAATGTGCTATGACACACACACGTTTATTCATCATTGGCATCATTAATCATATTCCAAATGTCGTAACTTTTGTTGTCAGCAAGAGACAGGACCTCAAAAGAACAAACAAACACTGACCAGTAATTTCTCCAGCTAGCAATGCTTCTTGGTCAAGCACCCAGGATTGAATATAGCAAGACATAAGCCTTATATATCTCCAATTCAGAAACTATAATATGAACAGAATTATCAGTTCTATACAATTATTTCTTTATTGCTGAAGTTTCTTCAAATTCACAGAATTAATTCTGTTATTTACCTCATCAACACACAAAAGCTTACTATGCTATATACATTTTCAGATACTTAAAATTTTAGATCATGGTTAGTAGAAAAATTCAGTAAACACTAGGTGGTAAGTTAGTTTATACAGCAGTAATTTGTTTTTGTTTTTTGCTCAAAGTCAGAGAAAAATAGCAGGGCATAATTTTTTTTTTGGGGGGTGATGTGTTGGGGGGGTGGCGGGGGGAGGGGGTGAGAAAGTATTCCATTGATTCACTCTTCAAAAGTAACATAGAAGTTAGAAATACATTGAGTCTTATTACAAGTTCTTAATTAAAGCATAACATTGTTACACTATAGCTTCCATGAATACTAATTAGTTGTGCAACACACCCAAGTCTGCATTTATCATTTTGAAACACTACTCTCAAATAACCAATGGTATTCCACATGGCCTATTACTTTTATTTGTGACAACATACCAAGTTACCACAATCTAACAATTTATACTCTATGGGTCAGGGATAGTTTTGGCATTTGATTGCATACAGTACATCCCTCAAACTGAGGTTTGATCACACCCATGAATTTAACTTCAAAGTAAGCACACGTCAACTGAGCTGTTTTTTTTCTGGGAAATGCAGAATTTGAAATGAATAACTAAACCCTTGTTATTTCTTAATGAAATCCAACTTGCTCACCTCCATAACATCCTCCAAGTTCTCCTCTGCATCTGCTTTTTCAGTCATCAGTTTGGCAGCCTTGAAATAGGTCTTCATGAGAAGGTAGCCCCTTTTTGCTCCATTCCAGTGTGAACGGGGAATTTCCACCAAGCCATACCCCAACAACAACACAAGGAGGAAAAGACCCCATGTGTTGGCAGCTGCTATTCCAATGGTCTGAAGCTGGTTCCTTAAAACAGTAAAGCACTTATAAATTATCATCAATTAGTTAAATTTTCAAATACAGAGAAACAAGATGCATTTTGTAATTATTAATTCTGTCCTGCCCTGAAAGGGATTTTATGCTTGAAACTGCTAGGATCTTCCATGTCTCCCAAGTTTCTGAAAGAGGCCAGAGATCCTGTTCCAAATGGGACACCTCTCTCAGGGTTGGGAATTTTACCACTAGACTAAAGATATCCATAGATTGCCTTTGCTTGCTAACTCTGGAGATGTTGATCAGACCAACCAAAGTAGAAAGAAAGCAAAGATATCCTGAAAAAGGGATTCCACAGAAACAGTTGTTGAAAAAAACCTATCTATATAGTGATAGAGAGCAGATTAGACTGGAAAAAAAATACAAAAGCACCCCCTCTTTCCTGACTCTGAGAGTTGGGGGTTGTAGTAGGCAAAACAAGTGAACACAGCAGCAGTACCTTCCATGCTAGAACCAACAGGAGATACCACTATCACTTTCTAATATTTCCAAGGGATTTAAAGAGGAATTAGGTCAATGTGGAGTTTAATATTTTTTAAAGCTAATGCTTTTGAAGAAACACTGAAGGCCCTGCCACAGGTTCAAATTAAAGCTAGATAGAAACCAGCTATAGAGTTGTCACACATTTTCAAGCACTAACTTTGTAGTTGGACGGCTCTTTTTATTAGTGGTGTACCGCTAAAGATTCTTAGCTGATACCGATAGCAGATTATTGACCAGCCACATTGGCTGATACCAATCCGATAACCATTTTACAGGTATGCAGCCAGGCAGCATGGAGAGCAGCTCCCTGTAGGTAAGTCTGTGGAGGTGAAGGAGTGTGGGGGAGGGGAGTGCAGATCAAGGTCCCCATGGTGAGGGAGGGAGTGGGGCAGGGACTGGAGCTGGGGGCACTGGCTAGCCAGGGCAGTGAATGGGACCTGGAGTCAGGGCAGAGAGCAGGACAGCAACAAACCAACAGCAGTAAATTTCAGGGGGAAAAAAAATCTCAAACAAGGATGGCTCCCCCCCTTACACAGCAAAGAACAGATGTACCTGATAAATTCCATATTAGATTAACAGTGTCTAGTTTCCTCATTACAGTGGTATATGTTAGCATACAGAATTTTAAAAAAATAAATAAACAAAACTAGTTAGACAAGTGCTTGCCACAGCATTTCTCTTACCATTGCAAATTGAAATGTGGGTTTACAGCCACATATATCAAAAAGGCTCCAAAAATCAGCAAGTATGTGCCATAATAGATCGCATTCTCTATCAATGCAGTTTTAATCTTCCCAGTAATGGAGAATCCTCCTGACCTTGCATACGACTGCATGAAAGGTAACAAAATCCTAATACAAAACACAAGCAAAATTCATTAACAGTACTAAATTGGTGCAACAACAATCACCTGGTAACACAGTTCAATTAGCAAACTTATTAACCATTATATTAGGTTTTACTTTTGAGATGCATCGAATCTGATAAACAAGCCTTGAAATAACCTGCTATGTGGATTAAAAGTTTCTCTTTAACTTAAAGAACTACTGTGTAAAGAGGCTGTGTTCCTCTTTTTAATACCCTAGAGGCTGAAATTTTACATTAGTGGATCATTTCTCAACTTAAACAAGGCACAACCTACTATGAACTTGGGGGAAATGAGCCATTTAGAAAGTAAAATTGGGGGTTGGACTAGATGACCTCCTGAGGTCCCTTCCAACTGGAATTTTCTATGATTCTATGGATCTTCTATGAAAACAATTATAGCCTATTCTCAATTAAGAAAATATAAGAAACTTAAGACCTATTTTCAAAAAGATACTGAGAATGAAAACATCGCCAACAGTGAAACCATTTTCTACTGTCAGGAGCTGATCAAATTTAAGAGTTGTTCCTAAAAAACTTACATGAAAGGAAATACTGAAAGTACAGGCAGTCTTTGACTTCGTTTCAAGTTACAATGTTTCGTACTTACAATGTTTATACATTGACACCCTGTTTCAACTTTATGACATCAGTTTTAACTTACAACGCTTGATCAGATGCCATGCCACGCCAGCGAACAAGTTCGCTGTGACGCTCATCTCCCTGGAGAACATCTGTCCAAACTTGCTTGGACACTTTCTTTAAGAAAGCAGACAACACTCCAGAAAAACTTGCACCCAAGACTCCTGAGAAGACTCCAGCCAAGAACCCTTCAAAAAGTCCAGCAGTCACCTCAAAGAATCAATCCAAATCAATATGATTGCTATTTACGATATAAATGCATTAATGTAGCTATATTACTCATCTATAGTTGATAGAGTACAAAATTCTGGGGTATTTTTGGTGAAAATAGGGTATCAGGCCTTGGTTCAGGAACAATCCCCCATTTAAAACATTGTTTTTTATGAGAAAATTGGTTCCGAGTTACAACATTTTGACTTAAGACGCGGTTTTCAGGAACCAATTGTGTTGCAAGTCCGAGGACTGCCTGTATAGCTCTAAAGATATGATATACTTGTCATCTAATTTAGCAAAAGATTGCTGTTTTGAATTAAAATATCTTTATTTGGAAGCAGATGTATTTATTTTATATTAGACTATATATTTATAATATTTGTAACTGTTTTGTAATCACATCATCTTAAAAGGTGTAGATATTAGCATATGGTGTCTTCATATTATACACAGAATCTTTGCTTTCAATTTTTACATTATTTACCATGTTAAGAACTGTGATGTCCAATATACTACACGCCAGAAGATTGGCATAATTCCATCAGGGATGTAACTCCATGGCTTGAAACACTTCTGTTTCCTGTAGTAAGATGAGAGTGCTACATGTTAATAATATACATACATACATACATACATACAGAAAACTAGAACTCTTGGTTCCAAAATGATACCTTTTATTAGACCAGCTGGAAAAGGGCAAGAAAACTGTCCTTTTCTGCAAGCTTTTGGGATCAAAGTCCCTTCGTCCGGCTCTGGGAAAATGAAATCTGAATGCAGAATTTCTTTACTCAGAAAAACTCATAACATCTACTGAAAAATTATCACCACTTTACTGAATGATTTTAGAATGACTATCATATAACTTGTACCATTTTAATGGTAACTTATCACATAAAGCAAATATTTAGACAAGACACGACCATTTGCCTTAAATGAAAAAAGCAGTACAGTTCAAAAGACTGGCATTCAATTAGAAAGAAAAAAACACTAGTGCAGGGATGTCAAACACAGTCGTTGGGGTGCTGGACCAACCCCATGTCCTAGCTCTGGCCCCACATGCTGCGTGTGGAACACAGCCTGGACGCCGCACTACACAAACTGCAGGCAGTGCAGGTGGTCAGGTCAATACAGGGCACTGCATGCAACCTGCACCCTGGACTCCTGTGCTACATGCAATGCCATGTCCAGCCTGCATGCTCCGGGCAGCATGCACACCATACCAGTCTCAAAACCTGCATGTACATCAAGCCCTGGGGATAATGCATGCTGTACACAGTGTGGGTCTGAACAGGCTACAGACTTCACACAGCACAGGGGGCAAGCATGGGGTACGTGCTGTGTGTGGTGCCCAGTTAGAGCCAGCACAACTGGATGGGTTCAACTCCTTGCACTAGAACCTACTGTTCAGGCCACTTTTTCAGTAACTGGTATGTTTAGATCAAGCATGTTAATTAGGGGTGCACCAATAAAGGTTTTATTGGCCGATACCGATGGCCAACTATTAACCAGCCACATTGGTCAATACCAATAGCCATATTGGCTGATACCGATCTGATTGCTGGAATGCAGCCCAGCAGTTTGGAGAGCAGCATCCACCTGGTAAGTCTGTGGGGAGGGGAAGAGGTGTGGGGGGAGGGGGGGCAGCAGACCAAGGCCCCCATGGTGAGGGAGTGGGGTAGGGGCTGGGAAGAGGCCAGCACAGCCTGTGGCCCTAAGACCAGTGGGCAGCTTACCCTCACCCTGTGCACAAATTCAAGGGGCGCACATGCCCTCCATGCCTCTCTCAGGGATGCATGCAGCAGCAGACAGGGAGCCGTTCCCCGCCCGCCCCCCACTGCTTTCCCCCCGGACAGGCTGCCCACAGCTCAGTCCTACTCCCAGGGTTGCATTCTCATCCTTGGCTGGGCAGTGCCTGCTACTACCCATATCCCACTCCCACCCTCACCATGGGGGCCTCGATCTACTCCCCCACAGTCCTTTCCTCCATTGACTTACTGGCTCCAAGCTGTCAGGCTGCGTTCCTGGTCACATGCATGCAGCAGCTGCACGCGACATTTATCTGTGACATTATCAGCTACACTGGTCAAAAAGGCCAGTAGTGTTAATTTTCCTTTTATCAGTACCGATCCAATATATCACTGCACCTCTAATGTTAATATTTATTTATATAACTATTATTCTTTTAGAAGAAACCTTAACTGCTTGTACCTTCTTAAAACTGTACAAGAATAGGAACATGCATTACATGGGAAATGCTAAATGGTCTTAAAGTTCAAGACTTTAACTTATACTCAGCAAAAGGAAAAACATATTATGCATATGCCACTAGTAAAGGTGATTCTTTAAATTTTTCATGGATAAACACTGTCTTGCCACTTTGGGACACTGAAAAAGATACTTCCTACTTGGGTACCCCCTTAGATCCCAGGTTCTAAAAATGTTGTAGAAACAACTACTCTGCTTACCTGTGAGAAGTAAGAGTATTAAGTAATTTTTCAAGTATGGTAATAGTTGACAGAGAAACAAGTGATAGATTCAAGGCTGAACAGGGTAGACCCAGAGAGAAACCCTGGTTTTATGATTTCAGTGCTTCATACTTGGGCATGAACGTGAAGCTTCTGCCATAAACTTTGAAGCTGCTTGGAATTTACCCAGATCTACTATCTCAGCTACAAGCAACACACACACACACACACACACACACACACACACACACACACACACACACACACACACACACACACACACACACACACACACACACACACACACAGATAACCTTCTCTCTCAAAACTCTCATGGTCTAACTCTATGAAACCTTTAGAACTGTGAAAGCAAGAAAGAAATTCTCAAAGGCATCTTTCCAGGCACATTCATATTCCTCTGTTATCTTGTCTACAGCAAAGGAGCCTAAGGAAAGGTCACAGGAATCAACATGCTTAAATAATCAAACACTGAAGCAATAAGCTGTGTAGATGCCTTATTAACCATTCTTATTGTCCCTTTTTTCTTTCCCTCACTTAACTGGGCATTTATAAACTTTAGTTGCCATATGCTGACTTTAGAGCACACTCCCTCTAGGGCAGGAGAGCTATTTGCTTGATTTTAGAAGTACCCGGTATACTTATGCTCACTTACACACACAAAAAGAAATTCCTTTAATATTTTGATGCAGAACAAACAATATTGTTCCCAATACCTTGGAGCAGGGGTAGTATAAGTTCCATTGCTGTTACTTTCTGGAGGGCTGGAGTTAACAGCAAGTTTGCACCGATTATATATGGTCTAAAAACAAACAAAACCACCCAATATTATGCCAAGTAATTATCCCAATAATTAATACAAAACGTGAAACACATACAAGAAGAATCAGAGTGAGAGAGGGTAGTTCATATATAGCCCCAAACAATTCAATATTTCTATGTTTTTTGCACCTTAATCCCAGAAGCGGATTATTAAAAAAACATAAGTGTCCTGCATTCCAGGTTTGCATTTCAGCACTGAAGTAATGCATAAAAAGGGCGAGGGGGGGGGATGACTAGTGGAGAAACTGATGTGGGGGGGAGGAGAAGGGAAGGCAGAGGGGAGTAAAACCGATTAGTGACTGTACATTGGCCAGGCTCAGGAAAATGCTAAAAGAAGCAACAAAAATAACGAATTTTAAAACGTAAAACTCATTGAAGTTTTAGTATGCTCAATACATACATTCCAAATTCCTTTTAAGTATGTACTGTTTTTAACTTGATAGTATTTCTCCAAATACCTTTTATTCAACTTAACATTTTCAAAAAATAAGATCCTTCTCATAATTAAAAATTGTCTACTGACTTATACAACTGTATTTATGTTTTAGTAACTTACATAATTATATACATTGTATATCATATGTGATATATTTTTGTATAAAGGAATAGTTATACTGTGCTTTTACAAAGAAGAAAAATCTCAGAAGTTTCTTACCGTACTAACATCCAGAGGCAATATAAACACAATCAGAAAGCAGAGATACCAAGCCAACAATGTTGCTATAATTACAAGCCTATGCTGTTTCTTAAAGTCTCCATATCGATGAAGCAGGAATAAAGCCAGAAAAAAAACAAATACTATCTCAATGCCCAAAGCTGCACCACTCATTATTGTATGTTCACTCCAAAAAGCCAATGCAGCTCACTTATGAAAGTAGATCATAACTGTAAAACAAGAACATATTATTTCCATTATAATCATACCCTCTGAAAGATATACGCGCACAAACACACACACAACAAAAGAGCATCAAATGCTTAACACACATTCTTTTGTGTATGCTAACAATTTTATACTTTATACAGGAACAGCTGAGGTAAGATTAAGCATGTGATTTCTCAGCAAGGTTCTGCTCGTCACCTAGTTTTCAGTATGGTTAAACTAAAACATATGGTTCTAGAGGCATAAGCCTTAGTTGTGAATCAAGCAACACCACTTTACAGAAAAATCCCACCCACACTGAGATGGTTCAATGGTTCAGGAGTGCCCCTGAGTGGCCATGAACACATCTACATCTACCCCAAGAAGCTCAGGGCCACTCCAAGGCATTACGACACATTCCTATGCTATCTATGCTGCCTGATTTGTGGGCTCAATACATACATGGCAGGCATAGGTGAGCAGGGGTTCTCTCTGTTGTGTTCAGGGCTTGCTCTACTTCCTAAGTCTACTTGCAAACAAATATCTTAACAGTTTTTCTGACCACACCTAAGCTGCCTAATGAAACCCCTCTTCATGAACGGTGTCTAACAAAAGTTAATGCATGGTTCTCACAAAATCTAGTACATTCTGTATGTTGTAAGAATTCGGATCCTGCTCAGACTTCCTGTGTTTTATTTTTTTTCTTTCTGATTTTGTTTCTGGTTTTTCGCTGTTTCTTTTTGAAAAAACAAAACTTATTTTCAGTGTCGTGATAAATGAGTTTCACTCATACTTTTTAGCAATGAAAGACATTCTTTTTTGACTAGTTATACTATTTATACAGGCAGTCATCTGGGCAGTTTTGAGCACTATTTTCTGCTTACTCTAGAAGTTCTGAAAGCAACATATTGATCACATACTTAAGTGGTGTAATAGTCCAAATTGGGCTAGCAATCTTATCTTATCTTAAGAAGAAACCTTGCATTTTTTCTAGAGTATAACTATTATTTTCTGGCAGGTTAGAAGACTGGCTGCAGTCAGATATGGCAACTGCAGACTCTCCTAAGCAGCTATCCATGTTCCAACGTTTGCAGAGCAAGCATGGCACCTTACAATTACATGAACTGACAAAAGCTAGGAAGAGTTGAGGACTATGGACTCGAATTTCCCTTACAAGGACTAACAGGTATCACATTGGTTTTCCAATTATATTGCCATGTTAGCTGGTTTCATTTAGCTACGCTGAATGTTTGTTGTAGCTGCCATTATTCTATTTTGCATCCAACAGCCAAACAGAATGTAAAAGCAATAAATTAGCCAGACAGAGGCTAGGGAAAAGGGGCACCAATTGCTGACCAAAGGCCTACAAATGATCGTGGATGACAACATATCAGCCTACTTATGTCTCCTCATATAATGAGGACTAGACAGGTTTCAAAATATGTATTATTTTAAGACAATGTTAATAACAATGTTATTAACTCCTTTGGCTTCACTTTTTCGGTGGTGGGAAAAGTCACCGAGTAGATCCATTCTTCTGAACTGCACCAGTGTTCTGGTTTCTCAGTATACATTAGGAACAGTTTTCCACTAGCCACTCAGCTCATGAGTCCAACTTGCTTGAAGACAAGTTCACAAGTAACCAAAAAATGCATGCAGAGAGCCAGCTGGTTGCACTGCTGGACCCTCTCCATGTGCAAATACTCAAGTTACTTGCACAATTAGGCAAACTGTTCAGACAACTTGAGGCCTAATCTAATACTCACTGACATTAGTGCAACTATTTAAATTGATTCTATATTAATTAGATGAAGGCTGAAAAGAAATCTGCTTGAAATCTTGTCTGAAAAGCCTTCAAATATTAACTCAATTTACCACAGGTACATATTATTCCAATGTATTTAAAGCATTTTGAACCATTTATTTAATCTTTTTATTACCTGGTCTGTTGTTAAGGTTGTTCCTGAAAAGTTAGCCACAGGAGGCAGATTTCTACTGTTGGCTTCTAGAAGAAACAAAGGAAACACAAATTAAGTAACTAACTTGTCACTAAGTGTAAATTTTCCACTTATTTCACCCATGGTCAAGGTTTCCATGATCTGTAAGATTTGATAAAGAGCATTAATCAAGGCACTTTTTAGTCTAACGAATGCCTCTAAAAACACACTGAGGTCAATAGGTTTTTTTTAAGACAAGCCAGAAAAGCAGAACTGGACCTTTAGCAATATATGTTTCTAAGAACCATTTCCTTCTACTAATAAAATTCAGCCACCATTTCATGGGGCCAAATCCAAGTAATAATGCTCTGCAAGTATGTACACAGGGAATTATATCCTTCCCTTACAGAAGTCTGCAATGATAACATCTTAGTAGGAAGCAGTGCTAGTCTGGCTGCACTGTCACTTCATTCTAGACAAGAGAGTTGGTTAGTCATGTTAGTCTGAAATCAGACAGAAGGCAGGGTAGAGTGCCACCTTAGAGACTAACTGATTCAAAGAGGCATGAGCTTTCATAAACATCTGATGAAGTAGGCTGTTGCCTATGAAAGCTCATGCCTCTCTAAACCACTTAAGGGTCCAAGGTGGCACCTGCCGTGCCTTCTGTCTTTCTAGAAGTGTGATGATTAATAGGGGTGTGTGAAACGGGCCACATTCGATTCGAATTTGGCCTGAATTGGGGACAGTGGTTTGATTCATTGATTCGGCCAATAAAATCACTGTCCCCTATTTGATTTGGCCGAATCCAAATCTGAAGATTTGACGCTGTTTTGGAGAATGAGTAATTCAGCCACAGACACAGCTTTAAATGTTTTTTCTACATACCTAAAGGTACCAGGCATGGCTCGTGAACGCTGCGATGATGAGGCGGATGGAGTGTCCCACAGGAGCGCAGGCCCTCCCGCATGCTTGGTGGCGAACCCGCAAGTAGACTGGAAGTACTTGGGTCCGCCGGGGAACGTGCTGCCCGCCCCCCCCAGCTCTGTGATCAGTCGCAGGGGGACCCCGCGGTGCACCCCCAGCACCCAGTCACTGAGCGGGGGGGGGCCCCCAGCGTGCTCCCCAGTGGAGCCAGAAGTGGACCGGAAGTGCTTCTGGTCCACTTCTGGGTCTGCTGCTGAGCACACTGGGGACCCCTCTGAGCTCCTGTGGGATGCTCCATCTACCCTACCATCGCAGTGTTGATGAGCTGCCTCGTACCTTGAGGTACGCAGAAAAAACCTTTAAAGCTGTGTCTATGTCCAAATCACCGAATCTTTTCGAATCAATTTGGACAGTTCTGATTTGATTTGGAGAGATTAAAGGGTCTCCTGATTCGATTCGGAGATTCGGCCACCGAATCAAACCAGGGACCAAAGCTTCAAACAGCCCTAATGAGTAAGGTTACAAAGATCATAAAACAATAAAGTTCCTTTAGCTATCTGGTGAGCAAGTGCAAAATGAAACACAAAGATGGGTGGCCAAGACTTTTTGCAGCCACAAATAGAATCCCGATGACCTTCTGACACTGAGAATATGGGAGAGGTGACAGGAAAATCAGTAATCATGCATGGAACAGACCTTAAGCCTGGTAAGATGAAAATTCTTGTTTAGATGGAAACACCCCTTCCTAGAGGGATCTCTGGTTACAATTATGAAAAACTTTGGACAAAAATGAATCAGTCATTAATCTCAGAGTTGCACTCACTTTGATCTAACACTACTAGAAAATAATATACATTGTTCGAGCTTAAGCTTCTCTAATGGAGTTTTCAGCAGTCACTATGAATATCAGAAATATATTAAATTACCCTTGACAAAAAAGGCTTTCAAGCATCAAGTGTGTATCAACATAATGAATATGGGTTCTAGTAAGATAAATACCTGCCTTTGATTAGTCTGTAATAAGCTAACCATAGGTACCCCAAACAAAGCACTTATTTGATTTAAATATATTGAAAAAGGTAGAATTTTTGCAGGGAAAGTTGGTGGGGGGGTGGGGTGCAGAAGGGGGAGGAAGGAGGAAAAATGGGAAAGACAAAACAAGCTTACAGCCAAATGAACTTCACTGTAAATAAATCCTATTTGTATTGCAAGATCTTCTTTTGGAGGGTAAGTTTTCAAGACGTAAGGCACTTGCTCAGAGACGCAATGCTTATAGGGATGTTCCCTAGTTTCTGAGCAAAAGCCTGATGGGATTGTTTTTGACCACCTACAACATAGGTAACACTTTCTGGGTCAGAATGAGGCTCAAAAGATCAAGCTTTGTCAGCTCTTCTTTGCCAGTAACTTCACTGAGAGCCAGACTAGTTGGAAAGAGCTTAGGAAACTCTGTACCATGTAGATGGAGAAGACATCACCATCAAATTGTACCAAGTTAGCAAGGGAAGTTACAAACAGAAGTCTAGCAGCTTTTTTCAGATGGGAGGCAAAAAGATCTACAAAAAAATAGTTTTTGAAGAATGATTTGCAAAATTAACTTATCCTGTAAAGCTTTGTATAATTTAGAAGCAAAAAGAAATGTATTAAGATTGGTTTTGACTTGTGCAAAGCAAAAGAATAATGAACTAGAGCAGACAATGAAGAATGGATAGCAAATGATTTTTTTTTAAACCAGATTCAGAACTTAAAGTGATTTTTAGTTAAACTTAATTCCAAAAGAATCTGACTATTTAGAGGCTTCCTAGGTTAGCTCTACAATTAAAAATGTTATTGACACTGATATATCAATTTAGGAGCGACTGATTTTTTCTTGCTGATGCTAATATGAGTACTACAGTAGATGCATTATCGTGACTATAAAGTGCTTAATCCACATTGCTATACTGCATTCTTACAGGATGGCATCTTTTCTTGGAGGGTTATGCTGGTTTAACTATATTTTAGCATTAAAGTAGATTTGTGGTGTGCATCTGCTTTTGTTTTCTCATTATTGATTTAAAAAGGTCAAACTACAAGAAACAGGGCTTGCATATTAGGTTTAATAAATTTAAGATTACCTTTAACATTAATCTTAATATCCAAATCTAATTAGGCTCTTACTAAGCATTCTTACTGCATTTTACATTTTTTCCAGAGCCACTAACGGTATGTGTAAACTGCGACTGGCAGAGAAAGGAAGAACTTCTTTACCCACAGAGATGTTATACTGAAACCAGATAAAGAAGAGGTTCACTTTGAAAACAAAGCGAGAAACAAACAGTGTAAATACACAGATTAAATAGTTTGCTTTACTTAGCACTGACAGGGCCCCAATTGACATTTATTTCATTTTGCAAAGAAACATTTTTGAGAGCTCAATGGAATGCAACGAGAGAAATTTCCTTAACAGGTTAGTTGCTTTTTCACATCTCCCTAAAGAAAAGCAACACATTGCCTTTTGTTTAAAAGTTCTCTCTGTAAAAAGGATCTTCCAGAAATAAGTGACTAGGATCTTCATGCTGGGCAACTGCAATCACACAAACCAGGGCTGCATTTAAGGCAGCCAACTGGAGGACCATGGCCTTACAACATAAGATGTCAAACACAGGTTAAACATTAGTAAAAAAACCCCCAAATGCCTGCATACATAAATTGAAGATGTTAAACATTCATAATGCATGAGAGAATAAGCTTTTGGTAACTGAGAGGTAAGAAGTCACACTTTTAATACAGCAAGGGGTTCTCAATTCCAAGCAGAATAAACTGGATGTAAGACTTTGGAAGATAGAAAAAAAGCCAGCTGAAGAGAGTCAGACAGGCAGCTTAGAAAACAAGGCTACTGAAAAAATATCCCCCTTTTCATCACCAGTTAAACATTATAGCCTTTAAACCGCAGGTGTCAATGATCCAGCCTGCAGACCAAATCTGGCCTGCAGAGCCCCATCTACCAACTGATCCCCAGAGCTGCTCCCGAGTCTAGAATTGACCCAGATGCTGCATGTGGTTGCCCCCACAACTGCTTTGTGGTGGGCCTTAAGTGCAGCCTGAGTCTTGGCATAGTCACTGAATACTCTGGATCCAGAATGCTGGGGAGCGGGGTCAGGTCAATAGGCCATATGCAACCTGTGGAGCAGGCTATGCACCATTCATTCAGCCTGTAGAGCCAGGGTTTGACACCCCTGCCTTAAGCCACAGTCTGTCACTTCAGTTAAACATTTTGGGATTTAACATTTTATTCACTGGAAAGAATCAGTAGGAATGTCCAGTTGGGAGGAGGTATCAAGAAAGATTTCCCAGGGCTCTATCCTGGGTCTGGTATCATTTACCATATTTACCCAAATTCAAGATGACTTTCAATTTAAGATGACTCCCCCCCACCGCCAGTAACTAGATTCTCTACATGGAAAACTGAATTTCTTATAAAATTTTCCATGTACCAAATGCAATTAGTGGAAGATAGTTTTGAATTTGTTCCCCCACTGCTGTGGCAGGGGATGAGGGGGCAAAGTCCCACCCCTTGCCCCCCACTGTGCCTACCCCCACCATGTGTCCCCCTGTTGCCTACCCCCTTGCCACCTGCCCTTCCATGTCTGTGCCTGCCTACTGCAGCCTGACTTCCCACTCCCTGCCTCTCTGCAGTTTGCCCTCCCAACCCTTTGATCACCCTACATGCCCACGTTCTCCACCCCTTACCCTCAGGTAAGTCTGGCCAGGAGAACCAGCAGCAGCTCCCAGCCAGGCTGAACTGGGGCTGGAGGGACCAGAGATGAAGCAGAAAGTAAGGTGGGGAGGGGGCACCTGGAGAGGAGGGGAGCAGGTGGTGAGGGAGGTGGGGGGATAAGCTGTGGTTTTCCTCTGCCACCCTTCACTCACACTGGCCATTTGCCCCCTCCCTCAACAAACAAGATATTCTGGCCTGGAGCAAGCAGCAGCTCACCTCTGACTTCAGCCCTAAGCCAGGGCCAAACCAATGCTGAGCCACCACCTGCCCTGAACTGGTAATTGAATCCAAGATGAGGCTTTGTCTCCTCCCCTATACTGATTGGGAGAAAAAAATACTACATTTGTCTTGGATCTGAGTAAATAAAGTAATACTGTTATAATGATTTGGATGATGGGACTGAGTGTACACTTAGCAAATTTGTGGATGACACCAAGTTGGGCGGAGTGACAGACACACTGGAGGGCAAGGCTAGGATCTATAAGGACCTGGATAGACTGGAAAAAGAGTCTGTAATTAATCAGATGAGATTCAACAAGGACAAGTGCAAAGTCCTGCATCTAGGATGAAATCACTGCATGCACAAATACCAAATGTGGAATAACTTGCACGGCTGCAGTACTACAGAGAAGGACCTGCGGGTTACAGTAAACCATAAGCTGAATGAGTCAACAGCATGTTCTTGTTACAAAAAGGACAACAGCACACCGGGTTGTATTAAAAGGAGAGTCACTTGCAAATCAAGGGAAGCAATTCTTCTGTTCTACTCAGCACTGGCAAGGCCTCACCTAGTGTAATGTATCCAGGTGTGGGCCCCACACTTCAAGAAGGATATAGGCAGATTGGGACAAGTCCAGCACAGTGACAGACATAGTTAGGAGCCTGGGAAACATTATCTGTGATGAAAGGCTGAAAGAACAAGACAGATGGAATTTGATAACAGTCTTCAAATACTTGAAGGATGATTATAGGAAAGATGAAGATAGGCTTCTCTCTGTGGCTTTTGCAGGACAGGACTAGGAGCAATGGTCTCAAGCTGTAGCAGAGGAAATTAAGATTGGAGACGAGGAGGAATACTCTGTCTGTGAGGATGGTAAAATATTAGGACAGGCTACCTAGAGAAGTTGTGGAATCTCCATTGTTGGAAATTTTCAAGGCCAGGTTGAACAGACACTTGTCTGTAATGGTTTATTCAGGGAGCAGGGGGCTAAACTAGATGAGCTTGTGAAGTCCTCTCCAGCCCTACCTTTCTACGATCTGATGAGGGCCTCTTATTGACAGGAGTCCAATGCTCACACAATGCTGTGCCGGATCAATCACTGCTTTCGACTTTGTTAGCATCTCTCTGACATCACAAAATAATTACAGCGTGAAATTGTGTCGGCCTGGACACAATTTGCCATTTGGGAAAGGCGCTGCCAGGGTGCATTCAGTCTGCACGTTTCTCCTCACAACCATTTCATAACATCTTGAGGGCATGCGATCAACACCTGCACTCCTGAAACAAAGACTGGATTTGACTTGGTCTACACAGGAAGTTTAAAACAAACTGAACAACATCTGAGTGGGTGTATTTAATGAGCGAGTTAAAATACCTGGGTGGAGCCGCTGGGCCCTAAGGAAGAGCATCAGCAGGAGCCTCCTAAAAGGAAGTGGGCTGAACCCCACGTCAACACGCTGCCGGTTTTCCATGTCCATAAGCCTTTACTGCCCTGCCCTTAACTAGCACAGCCGTGCTTAGGGCCAAACAGACCGGACAAAGCAACCCACGCGCTAAGCTCTGCCGCCCACTCACTTCACACAGGCCGGGGTTGGGGAGGGGAGGCAACAACCAGAGGACGGCTCCACCACCTGTGCCAAGGCCTGCCTGGGGACCCTGCGCACCTGCTCTTGGGGGCCCCGGCGCCGGCCTCGCTCTCGCTCTGGGGGCAGAAGTCAGCAAGGCAGAGCCGCAGCAGCCGGAGCCAGGCTCGTGCACGTCGCTGCGTGAACGGACCAGGATGGGAGGGGCGGTCCCACGCTGAGAACCACCTTCCCGGCCGAGGAAGGTGCTGGGACCCCGGGCCCCGGTCTGCATCTATCCCAGCCGGGCGCTGCTCCCACAGGGGCTCTTGCCATAAAGCCTCACCTGTGTTTTCAGGTGGGGGGTACACACCCGCCTGCCATCACACCTGTGTGCACCCCCCGACGCCGCCAGGGCAGGGCGGAGACCCGGATGTGACCCCCCGCGCCGAGTCGAGCTCACCTGTCGGCGCTGGGCGCGG